TGTATACATATGGCTGTAGAGGCCCGATTTGTGTCCTTCAATATCCTTCATTGTGGATCTATCCCTGGGTCCACCAAGAGTCCCATCCCTGTAAGACACTGTCTTCCCCTCTCCCAGCAGCCATCAATTGCCAAAAGTTCCTTAGGTTGAGTTCACATATCTTACTGACTTCCCCATGTCTATGCTGGGATTTTATCTGGTTTAATATATATCTAATGTGCAGAGCATGAGATTCTCAAATATTTATAGTACCTACATTCCTTTTCTCCATTTGAGGTGATCCATCTTTGGCCTACTGGTGTATTAAAAGAAAACTTCCACAGCTTTGCAAGACTTCTGGGCAATACAGAGGACTCATCAACAATAAAAATCATCAGTAAAATAATGTGGAAATAATACTGAAAACAAAAAGATTCTCTGAATCTTTAAAGATTCAGAGAAAGGAAAATTGTGGAAATAAGAACAAAAATGAGAATTATGCTTCCATTCAGTTGTCATGCTTTTTGGAGGATTTGGGGACAGAGGTGGGGTGGGGTGGGGGACTAAAGAATTTTTCCCACTTTTGAAAGAGGGAGTTGGCAGAATAAATCTACTGAAAGCATTATATACTATAATGACTTTAAGCTAGCCCCTTTAGGGATGTAAACATGTGGACAACAAATCCAGGCCTCCATTAGCTATGCCAGCCTCCTTTCTTTTGCATGGTAGGCTGTTTCCTTTCCATAAAGGTGAAGCCCCAGTCAGCACAGGCTGATTTTCTTCACAACGACCTTGGGTTACCTACCAAGATGGGAGTCTCATTCTTGTCCTTTCACTAGGAGGAAAAAGAAAAGGTCACCCACACTCGACGTCAATACCACATTGAGGGAACTACAGTGCCGAGATGTGAAGGGAGAACTTCAGAAATTCAGAACCAGAACGGCCAACCGCCAGGGGTTGTGGGAGGTCAAAGAGCGATAACATGCCCCTAACTCCCATTTTTAGATTTTATTATTTTATTTTGAATGAGAAAAACAAAGGTGGACATCTTTGGCTGCTACCCTTGCATAGGTAAGTACGGGATGACGGAGGACCTCGGTAGAGATGGACACAGTGTCCAGGTAGAGGGCCACTGATGGGCCAGAGAAGATGCTGCCCTACCCAGCATCCAGCGCGCGGAATGCTCAGGGCTGTGTTGGGGCGGGAAGCCGTGTGCCGTGAGCGCTGATTGGCTGGCTGGCCTGGTCTCCTGGCGCTATTTGTTGTTGGAGCGCAGGCACCTGACGCAGTTGGCGTCAGCACGTGTGGCTGTTTAAGCTGCGTCTCGAGGAGCCCTGGGAGCCAAGAGCGGAAAGGTGAGTGTGCTGGGCGAAGCCTTCCTCTTCCTCTGGGCCGGGTGTCGCCCTGTGGCCTTGGGGACCAGGCTTCGGCCCAGAGTGGGCAGGTGCGGCCGCTGGGGTTCCATGGGCTCCGAGGGGCTCGTCCCTCCGGGGCTGCGTCCTCTCGGTGGTGCGTGTGGAGGCTTGAGGCCTGGGGGAGGCTGAGGGCCAACAGCTGTGCGCCTAGGCGGCCATTTCCCAGAAGAAACGGTGCTTGTGGTGCTGTGTGCCAGCACCCCTTGTGGAAGCTACTAGGCTTTCTTGGAGGGATTTTGTCCCCAACTCACTGCTTCCTCGCCAGTTTCCAGGGCCAACCCCGTCCCCACGTCCCCAAACAGAAACCCTCAAGCATCCGTGGCCACCTTTAGGGTAGCAGCGGGAAATACCTGGAACGTTGTCATAGACACCTCCGCTCCTTTTCATCTACGGCAAGCCATTTGAGGATCCTTTGCGGGAAAACACATTTCGGGCAAACCTAGGCATTTCTGAGAAAGTGAGGGGATTGCCAGAAAAATCACGTCTAAGTAGGAAGCAAGATGTGTCCCCGTGTCGTCTCCCCCCCCCCCCCCCCCCGCCCCGTGAAAACCTTTCCGCAATTTGGTGGTTAAAGTTAGCAAGCAGTTCTGTTACTTTCTGGTATTGGAGACCAAGCCCAGTGCCTTGTGCTTCGTTTGCTTGTCTCTGAGCTAAACTGCAGCCCACTAGTGTAAAGATACACTCCTGATGTAACCGAGCCCCACCCCCCCACAAAAAGTGCTTAATTTTTCTTCTTTCTTTCTTTTTTTAAAAGAACCCGAAGTCACCATGGGCGATGAAGACTGGGAAGCAGAAATCCTCAGACCTCATGTGTCTTCCTATGTTCCTGCATTTGAGAAGGTAATAAAATTTAAAGTGTACTGTTGTTAAATGCTGTGGCTTTTTATAAAGGTTGAACTAATAGGGAAATCAAATTATAGTCTCTTTCAGTGTTCATGTGCATGTGATTTTTATTAACTATATGGGGAATGAGAAAGACTCAGCTTCAAATAGAATAATGTATTTGTGGTAATTTAATAATTAAAAGTGAAAGCTGTACGACATGTAATTTAAATCTGAATTATTTAGGACTTACAGGTGAAGGCAAACTTGTACAAATGTGGTTGAATGTTCGTGAGGGATGTTTGAATGGAAAAATTTAGTAATTGGTTCTGGTTGATACTTTGAATTCTGAAAAGTAATTTCATGCAAGGAGAACCTTCAGTGTAAATATATTAGACTGATTCAGATGGTACCTTCAGTTAGTACTATAAAACATTTTTATTTTATCTTAATGCCAATTGGGGAGCCTTTGGATTTCAGATCTGACTTAATGCCCTTTAGAAGATACTGTTTTAAGGAATTGTTTTTGAAATTTTTCCCCCCTTCAGAATTTATATTTTAAGTGTATGTCAATGAGTTCTGATGCTTCCTGATTTTAAGTGTGATGCTTCTTTCTTTACACAAAAAAAATATGTGGCACTTTTTAATTGGATTTGATTAATAAGTGGTCTCTAAATTCAAATACCCCAAATAATAACTTGAATGCACAATATTTCTTGGCTTGGAACTTAGTTTATCAATATCTTTTGTATATTTTAATAGTTCTTGTTGAATCATGGAAAAACAAATGTTAGAGAGGGAAGACAAATTACCTAAAAAATCTTGCTCACTCTTGTTAAATTTTTAGTATTTGTTTTTTTAATTAAAAATTTTAAATTTTATATGCATGAATATTTTGCCTGCTTGTATGTACGCCACCTGCAAGCCTGGTGCTGGGGAAGGTCAGAAGAGGGCATTGGGTGCTCTGGAACTGAGGTTAGGATGGTTGTTAGCGCCATTTAGGTGCTGGGAACCAAACCCAGGTCTTCTACAAGAGCAGCAGGTGCTCTTAACTGCTGAGCCATCTCTTCAGCCCCTAGTATTTGTTTTTTAAAATGAACTATTTTTTAAAAAATATTTTATGTGTATAAGTGTATTGCCTGCATGTATGTGAGTACACCTGTGTTGTGCAATGCCATGGAGGTCAGAAGAGGGCTGGAACTGGAGTTAAGGATGGTTCGTAGCCACCATGTGGGTGCTGGGAATAGAACCTGGGTCCTCTGCAAGAGTAGTCAGTGCTCTTAACTGCTGAGCCATCTCTCCAGCCCCCAAATGAACTAGTTTTAATGATAGTATATAACAGTAATTTTGAACCTACCTTTATTCACTTCAGCACTAATTATTACAAACTTACTGAAATTAATTTCTTACAGTAACATAAGATTTTTGTGGAAAGAATATCATACATGAGAGTTTAAGAATATCAAACATGGGAGTTTAAGATGGTGGTAGCTTTTCACTTCATATTGTTATGAGTACCTGTAGCTTTTTTGTTTAAGTTGGGAATTGTTTCCCAAAAATGCAAATGTTGGCAAGATGGTACAAGGACATCTTATGGCTTGGTGTTCCTTCTGGTTTTCAACAGATTTGTTATAATACAAAATTTAGTTTATGGATACAGGCTCTGTTTCACTTGGACTTTATAAGTTGTCTGATTTGTCTTTTCTCTGAGACTTTTACAAAACTCTGTGAAGTGTGTGCTGCTCTGTAGCATGTTGTTCATGTTTATTGCATTGGGTTTCTGTTTTTTGAGACAGGGTCTTCCTGTAGCCTCAGCTGGCCTGGACCACTCCATGTAGACTAGGTTGCTAGGTTGGCCTGGATCTCATGGGGGATCCGCCTGCTTCTGCTTCTGCGATTAAAGAGTTGTGCCACCACCTAGCTTGCATTGTGTTTCTGAAGTTGGGATGATTGTTGAGTTGTTGATATTTTCTCCCCACCCCCACCCCCATTTAAGGTGGAATCTCAGAGTTAAGGGTCTTCTGCCTTAGGTTTCAAGTGCTGGAGTTGCAGGCATGGGCCATTACACCTGACAGGTGGATGTATCTTAGAAATTTGCTTTTTTGGAATCTGTGTTATTCAATAATATACCTTGTATCTTGACATTGATAACACTAAATTTAACATAAAATTTTGTTGGTAATTCTACTTTACTATTCTTTTTAAAAAATTTTTATTTTATTTTATGTGTATGCATATATTGCTTGCATGTAGGTAAGTGCACCCGTGTTGTGCAAAGCCCGGGGAGGTCAGAAGAAGCTGTTGGATCCCCTGGGACTGGAGTTACAGACAGCTGTTAGTTGCCATGTGGGTGCTGGGATTTGAACTCTGTTCTTCTGCAAGAACAACCAGTGTTCTTAACCACTGAGCCATTTCTCCAGCCCCTACTTTACTATTCTTAATACATCTGGATGGAGCCAATTTGTAGTAAAATTCTAGCATTTAATGTCTGCAAACTTGACACCTGGTACTGGTTTTGCAATTAGTAACTTGGTTTAATTGACTTGAAGGATCATGATACAGTTCTTGTCTTTGTTTACCTTCCTTGTTCAAATAAAAAGGGCATTTCTATAGAGGAAAAATCTTAAGGTCTTTTATTTAGTTTTTTAAAAAGGCTCCATTTTGACTGATTGATAACTGAATTTTCAAGAGAAAGCCTGGCTTCAGTTTTTGTTGTTGATACTGCTAGTATCTTAAACTAGTATGTGTGATCAGATCTTCAGTGAGGAGCTTTCTTTTAAGATACACCATCAATTATACTTATATAACGTTGAGCTAATAGGGCAATGTTCTAAGAAGACTTAGAACTCTTCAGATCTAGATTTGGAAGTAGATGTTCCTCTGGGGATAGAATGAAAGGTGTGGGCTTAGAAAAAGCTGGATACTCTAGCAATATAGTCCAGAAACCTCAGTGATTCCATATTTGTGTTTGCTGGCTTATTGCAATGAATGTGTTATTCAGCTTGCTTGTTTTACAACAATGCTTTTTTAACTGATTATAGGAGTCATTCTCAATAGTGTTTGTTTCTATATGGTTTATTTGTCTTTTGGAGGCATTTCAGGAGGCAAAAAGTTCCTGCAATTAAAGTGGAAATAATTTGAGATAATCTCTCCATAATTGTAATTTTATTAAGCAGTAGTAGGTAGTAATGGTTGTTGAGATAATAAAATAAATTTGGGGGCTGGAGAGATAACTCAGCAATTAATAGCACTTGGGTGCTCTTACAGAGGACCTGGGTTTAGATCCCAGCACCCACATGGCAACTAACAACCACCCTTAACTCTAGTTCCAGGGCATTGCCTGACATGGGTGCAGTTACATACATGTAGGGAAAACACACATAAAAGTAAGTTAAAAAAAAAAAAAGAGCACATGAAGTTGGGTGGGAGATGTGGTTCCAGAGTTATTTAGCTATTGATTTTACATTAACAGTTGAATTTCCTAAGTCCAGCAGTCAGTATACTACTGTCACAATAATGGATATGCATTAATAGCAGTTTTTAGACTAAAGTAGGGAAACTGCAGCAGTCACTATTTGAAAGTATTGAAGATAATCTTCAAGTAGTGCTCATTTAACTTTAATTAAAATTAATCATCAGTATTCTGACCTGATAGCTAGAAGTTCACCACTTCATTGGATTTAAAAGACAGCAGCAGAATGCATATATAGTTTTCAGTGCGTAAATGAATTTTCTTTAGAGTTTATTCTTTTTTAAAATGTAGATACACCAGTTTGTTTTGCTTTAATTATAGTGGAGGCTTTCTTTTATTTTTAAGACAGACTGATTATTTAGCCCAAGCCAACTTCAGTCTCATGTTCCTCCTGCTTTAGTGTTCTGAGTGTTGGATTACTGGAATACAACATCATGCCTAGCTATTTGAAAGTATAAAAAATTTCTTTACTGTAGAACCTGTTGCCTGCAAATTTTATTTTTCACTCTACTTTGTAGCATTGGTGAGTGTACTGTACAATACAGAGCTATGCTAACTATGTTGTATATTGGCAGTAATTGATTTATTTAAATATTTTATGCTTTTGAGTCAGGAAACCTTTTATGCAAAGTACTAGATGGTAAATAATTTAGACCTTTATAGGTTTTACAGTCTTAGCCTCAATTTGGCTATTGCAATATGGGAGCAACTGTAGATGGATTCATAGATTAATGAATGGCTGTGCTCCAATAAAATTGTTTATAAACATGGATGGGGCAACAGATTTGCCCCATGGCTGTAGTTTATTATTGAAATATAAATTTAAAATATAAAAATACAGTTTAAAGTGATATGTCTTACACCTACAATGTTATACTGACTGTGTCTTGAAATGATTAACGAAATGATTACTGGAACATCCAGTAACCTAGAAAAATCTTACTGTTTTATCATTGCTTCATGCTGAGTTGTTGTACAGTAGTCTCTGTCTGCAGTTTTGCTTTCTGTGGTTTCAGTCACCCACAGCCAACTGTTACAGTCCAGAAATATTAAGTGGAAAATTTCAGAAGTAAATCACAAGTTTTAAACTGCGTGCCATTCTGAGTAGTATGATGAAACCTCCTCTTTGTCCTACCCAGAATGTGAGTCATCCCTTTGAGGTGTCTATGCTGTATATATTACCTGTCTGACATTGTCATAGATTAAGGCTCAGGATCACCTGGAGTAGGTGATCCTCCTGACATATTGTCAGGGGGTCAGTAGTAACCCAATCCTCCTGTATTATAATGCTTGTGGCATCCATCTCACTTCAGTTCATTGTGTAGGCAGTTATCAGGTCATATCACAAGAAGGTGAGTACAGAACAGTTAAGTATTTTTACAGTGTATTATAATTGTTGTATTTTATTGTTACTCTTACTGTGCTTAATTTATAAACTATCAGGCATTATAGATAAGAAAAAGTATCTCAATGTGTGTGTATATTTAGATGCTATCGATGGTTTCAGTCATGGGGGGGGTCCTTAGAATGTATTTCCCATGACAAAGGGGCTTCATAATTTTCTATTTGAAATAGATGGCATGCTTTTATTCAGAGTAGAAAAATGGTCTTTCTTATAGGATAAATATTCTTCTGGAGCAAATGGAGACACTTTTAACAGGACTTCAGCTTCATTATCAGGTAAGTGTTAAGGTGAAACTTAGTAGCTTTAAGGGCTTTATCTAATAAAGAGCAGACTGATAGACATAGAGTATATCTTTAAGTTCCCGATGAGGATTCATTTTAGTTAGGATTTTTTGGGATAGGGGCACTTTAGGTAGAAGAGGAGGAGAGAGTACCGTATTACTGTTACTTGATTTAGTGTGTTTCTGTAAAACTTTTCCCAACTTGAAAGTTGCATGTTTGGCTTTCAAGTTGCTAGAGCTTGGGAGGGCTCCTGATAAAAGGGAGTAGGTCAGTGGTAAGATTGTTAAAGCAGATTCTAGTCATGGTGACTGATCAGGGTACAACCATTGAAGCCAAACATGATATACCATCAAGATCATGAGTTTCTTTGGCACCAGAAAACTAATTTATGAAAGCGCCTAAGAGAATAAGAAATGAGTTTCAACACAAAGGGGTTTTACCCATCCTGCTGCCTCCAATCCCTTTTTCTGTACTTGTTTCCATCTATGCTGTCTCTGTCCCTGCTGGTATGCTACCCACACTTCCAAATCAAAATGGTTAGGAAGATGGTAGAAAGTGTGGGGCCTGGGCTAGGAAACTATATACACATGGTAGTTGTCTTCCACTTTCTTGAAGTCTGAAACCTGCTCAAATGTGATTGCTGTTGTACATTGAAAGATATTATAGTAATGAACATTTTTACCACTAAAAAAGATCTTTTAGTCTGTGCGTGTAAGCCATGACATTCATGTGAAGGTCAGAGAACAGTTTTCTACCTTTATGTGGGGCTTGAACTGAGGTCATCCAGCCTATATGACAAATACCTCTATTTGCTGAGTCAACTTGCCAGCCCCCATCTTTTTTTAAAAATATTATTTTTATTTTATGTGTATGCGTGTATTGCCTGCCCATCTTTTAAAAAAATATTTTATTTCTTATTTTATGTGTATATGTGTATTGCCTGCATGTAGGTAAGTGCACCTGTGTCATGCAGTGCCCGTGGAGGACAGACGAGACCGTCAGATCCCCTGGAACTTGAGTTACAGACAGTTGTTAGCTGCCACATGGGTGCTGGGATTCGAACCCAGGTCTTCTGCAAGAACAGTCAGTGTTATTAACTGCTGTGCTATCTCTCCAGCCCCCATCTTTATCGTTTTTAAGTGTACTGTTCATTGGCATTAATAACACTCAGTTGCTACAGTCATCTACCATCCACATCCAGAACCTTTTCATCTTCTCAAACTGAAATTTTGTACCCATTAAAACAATAGCTCCTCACTCCCTCCTCTTTCCAGCCTTGGCAACCATACGACTGTACTTTCCGTGAGTCTGAGTAACTGTCTCCAGCAATTTGAGTTACTCATTTTAAGGCAGATAAACACAAGGCCTAGTGGTATTATGTAGTTTTATTATTTCTCTCATTAAAAATTAGAGGAAGATGGGCTGGAGAGATGGCTCAGTGGTGGTTCTTGCAGAAGATCCAGGTTCGAATCCCAGTGCCCATATGGTGGCTAACAACTGTAACTCCAGTTCCAGGGGATCCAGTGCCCTCTTCTGTCCTCCACAGGCACTGCACAATATGGATGCACTTACACATATGCAGGCATAACACTCATACACTTAAAATAAAAATAAATTTTAGGTAGCTGGAGAGATGGCTCAGCGGTTAAGAGCACTGCTCTTGCAGAGAACCTGGGTTCGATTTCCAGCATCCACATGGCAGCTACGAACCATCCTTAACTCCAGTTCCAGGGGAATCCTACACCCCTTTCTGACCTCTGTGGCATTGCACAACATGGGTGCACTCACTTACATGCAGGCAATACACTCATACACATAAAATAAAAATAATAAAATATATAAAAAAATTTTAAACTTAGTGAATGAGTTGGGTATAGTGGCACATGCCTTTAATGCCAGCACTTGGGAGACAGGCAGGTAGATCTCTGTGAGGTTCAGGCCAAAGATGGTCTACATAGTTCCAGGCCTACTGGAGCTGCATAGTGAGACCCTGTCTCAAAACAAAACAAGAAATTAGAGGATGAGGTAAAGCAATTTATAGTAAAGAAAGCTGTTGACTCACTGAAACCTGACTTAAAGTAAAAACATCTGTGGCAAGGTAGTTTATATAATGAGAGGAGTTTGAGACTCAGATTATCAGGTTAAAGCCAATTTAATACCTATGAATATTTTAAATTGAATGTAAATCTCTTGACATAGTTTATAAGAACCTTTGCTATTGTCAAGATGCATTTCATTTGAATGCTTTAGTTTACTATGTAATCAAATTCCTAAAAGTTTGTGGAATTGCAACAAACATTCCTTCATATGAACTCTGTATACTTGAAATGTTCAGAAAATATGGGTAAAAGTACACTTCTTGATAAGTCTATTTACAAAGATCACTGAGTGATCAATAGAAACTCAATTCTTTGAGGTACCAACAAAAGCCAGCAAAGGACTGAAATAGGCCTGTATCGTATAGGAGCTTAGTGCTCTGTTGTAGTGGGATTTTCCAAAAAGTAGATTGAAATGACCACCAACTAGAAGCCAGAGCTTTACTTTAAAAAAAAAATCATTGATCAATGACCGTTTGGGGTAAAGAAATGAAATCACATGATGAGAAGTATTCTCTACTTCTGAATAAAAAATACTTTTTTGTACTTTTAATTTTCAAAAAATTTTAAACTAAAAAATTACTATTTACATTGTGTGTGTGTGTGTGTGTGTGTGTGTGTGTATGTGTGTATAAGGGGTGTGCATGCATGTCACAGCATGTGTGGATGTCAGGGGACAACTTGTAGGAGCTGATTCTCTCCTTCACCTGGTGTGTTCTGGGGATCAATCTCAGGCTTGATGGCAAGTACCCTTACTGATCCTTCTTGCCAGCCCTGTTTATTTTAAATGTAGTTTTATGGACATAGAAATTGTTTCTTATAACAAGTCAACTGAATGTATATTAAACTGGTACCTAAATGATTATTGCCAAAAACTTAAGTAGAGGAGAAGGGAAGAAACTAAATTAATATCTTGGCCTCTGAATTTCAGCCTCTATTGATAGTCTGTGGCTGATTATTTAAATTCTTCATATATTCTCACATAATTATATTCCATTATGTAAGAATTGTTTGCATTTTATGTACAGATATTTATATATTTCCTTTTATTGAGACACAAACTTGCTTTTCTTTGCTTACCTGCCCTTCTATACTCTCTTCATGCTGTTAAAATTGTACTTGGACCGGTTTCATTTTATGTTTCACAGAAATGGAATCCTATTTTACTACATCTTATTTTACTTAATGGTAGTATTCTGGTTAGTTTTTATTGTCAACTTGACACACCTGGGAAAAGGGTGCCTCAACTGAAGAATTGTCTCAATTAGATGGGTCTATGGGCCTGTCTGTGGGGCATTTTCTTAATTGCTAATTGATGTAGGAGGACCCAGCCCACGGGAGGGGGTGGCATCATCCCTAGGCAGGTGGGCCTGGGCTGTATAAAAAAGCTAGTGGAACATAGGCTGAAGGGCGAGCCAGAAAGCAGCATTCCTCCTTGATTCTGGCCTTCAGTTCCTGTCCTGACTTCCCTCAATCGTAGATTGTGACCTGGAAGTATAAATCAAATAAACCCTTTCCTCCTCTAGTTGCTTTTGGTCAGAGTATTTTATCACAGCAACAAAATGAGAGTAGAACAGATAATTATGGGAGTGCTTCTGGGCAACTGATGTAATCTAGTTTTATCCAAAATTAAGTGAAAATTAATGTTACCTGGGTATAACTGTTAACTAGTAACTTCATAATTTATAGTGAAGAATTTAGTCTGCCTTTCACTCACCTTTTGACTTTAGTGTAGAAAATGAGTATTTAGCCTCTCTACTTCTACCCCATTCATATTTTCTCCCTTCATACTAACCTAATAGTTGCATCTTATGGTTAAATTTTATATTCAGTTTTCATATCATTGTAGCTAGGTATATGCTATTCACTTTTGAGCCATGCCATATATTATACTTTCATTTCCTTTGTTCAACCTTGTTTATTATTACCAATCTTTTATTTGACCTGTGTTTCTATTGCTAATTCATTCTCAAACCCTCTGCCAGAGCACAAATAGCCATTCAATTTCTAACATACAACATGAGCCATCAGTTTCTTTAAAAAAGCCTCATTTTTGAATCCTCCAAGCAGCTGCTCTAATGCATATTGGTTGCTCTCTAGATATGCTCTCCAGGAATTATATTTCACTTCTTTCATGTGTCACATTCCATTTTGTCTGGATCCTATTTTTTCTCTTGATCCCATCACCCCCTCAGTTTTGTGGAACTTTTTTCTTTTTCACTGAAACTTCCTATGAAAGGAGTACATTTGAAAGATTTTTTTACCTTAATGTAGAACTTTTATTACAAACCATCTTTTGTGGACCTCTTAAATGTGAACTCCTTCACTTTTGAGAAATTTACATGGATTTCTATAACTCCATTTAGAGGTTAATTCTTTTCCTTTTATTCTCTCTTTTTAGTGTGTGTGTAGGCTTGTTTTAATACATGTCTTTTATGTAGTTTTATTATTTTTATGAGTTTATTGCCTGCATGTATGTGAATGCAGCTGTGTCGTGTAGTGCCATGGAGGTCAGAAGAGGGCTTTGGATTTTCCTGGAACTGGAGTTAAGAATGGTTCGTAGCCACCATGTGGGTGCTGGGAATCGAACCTGGGTCCTCTACAAGAGCTGTCAGTACTCTTAACCAGTGATCCATCTCTTCAGCCCCTACAGTTTTCTTTAAAGTCCACTGGTCTTTGTAAACGTTCATTGGTCTTTGTGTGCTTTGTGTATTTAGGAATAAGCCATTAAAGTGCTTATTGGAAGTTTAATTCTGTACAGCTGGGCATAGCTTGTCCATGAATGGGCTCTATTACCAAGTGATTGAACAAGGGCTAGGCTGTTTTGAGAGAAGATACTCTAGTTTCTGGTCTCCCTTTAGGTGTCATGTTTCTAATACTTATTTTAGAAACATAAAT